TAAAACAGCGATAAAACGCATAAGCGCTTTATATGCGAAAAAAGATCAAATAAATTAATAAAAATAATAAAAATTACTGAAACAACGCATGTCTAACTTCGTGCGCGAAAGAGCAGAGACGCACAAGGAATATAGAAACAAAAATCGGCTTGAATTTTAATGCTCGAAAACGCAACTATAAATATATGCGACGCACGAAGTGTCCTACGAAAGCTTCAACGGAAACTTCACTACACTTAATATTATTATTTAACCGATTTAATGCATAAGCTTAATTAAAAAGTAATCAATAAAATTAAAAAAAAAAGCAAATAGAAGCAATTTTGTAATCAAAATTTAATATCTGAAAAAAATTTGACAACTTTACGTATATATAAAAAATATGCATTGTGATTTATATTGCAATTTGATATTGTAGATATTTTATATGTACATTCGAAATGCCGATATGAGCATAATCTGCGATAAAACCAATACAATATAATCCGCCCGTAATAAATTTATTACATATAAATGTAAATGTACAAAGCGTAATCGATGAACGTAATGTAAGCGTACTAATGGAATATTCACGTTATTTCTGGGTGTATTGCTTAATAGCGCTAATGCTCTTTCTGCAACGCCAATACTTTTTCTACAGTGAGCGCAAAAGCAAGTATTTAATCAGTTTACAAGAGAATTAGAAGTATTAAAGCATTCATATAAAACCGTATTAAGACTTTCATAAAACGTTAAATCCTTCAAGATTAATAGCAAATTTCTCTATTTTGTATATTTGATTAATAGCATCATAATATATACATATGCAATATGCGTGATAAAATTATTATTTATATTTTACTTTGCACAGTTTTAGATTTAATTTTATATTTAATATATACATATATAATTTATAATTAATTATAATTTATTTATTAATTATAATTTATTAATTATAATTTATAATTAAAATAAAAGATAATATTTATAATTTAATATTTATTATTTTGTCGAAAAAAAGATAAAAGACGATTTGATGATTTAATTAAGTTAATGCGTACGATAAGCTTTGAAAGTTTAAGCAAAACTTTACGTCTTTAAACGCATTCGATTTAGACGATGTACAGCCGTAAAGACTGTTTTTACGGTTAAATTTATTCGCTGTATTGACGCGCTAGTAGGTTTATGTGGAATTTAGTAGACATTTACGAGGATTCAGTTAACATGCCACGGCTGCGAACGAGCGATAGTAAATCCGGCTGAAATAAATTCGGTGCAGCCTTTACCTTCGATAGTCATTTTCGTAATATCTAATTACATTTTGCATGAAACATCCTGGTCACTGAGAATAAGGGCTAAATAATCTATTTAAATCTCGTTTTATTTGCTACAAATTATTTGAGATAATTCACAATTATTTAGCTATCAGTTTATTAATCTATAATTTTTGTATAGTACGTGTAAAATGTATCGCAAAAACATAATAAAGAAAAAAAACGAGCGCTCAGCAAAAGATACATTTCAGACTGTAAAATCTCAAAAGAAAAAACGTAAGAAACTTCTATTTCAATCGTCGACGTCTTTAAATCACCTCGAAAGACAGTCATGAAATTGCAGAAAAGAAAAGAAAGGAGAAGAAAACTAACGGCCTATCCTACATCGTTTACGTTGTATATGTTTCTTTTTATAACCCTTTATACTTTAACTTCCATTGTTTAAATTTTTTGCTTGTCACATTTCTGTTTAGTTAAAAAAATATGAAGAGAGAGCAATAACGTAAATTTAAATTCAGCTATCTGAGACAATATCAATATCCCGAAATTGAGACTATACATTAATTTATAATTTAAAAACAAATATAGGAAACAGGTAACGTTATGTAAATAAATTGTTTCAGATTTTGTGCGTAACCTCTATTTATTTCTTCGATCAATTTAAAGTTAATTTTTTTTTATATAAAAATGTCAAATGTAATTTTTATAATTTAAATTTAAAAAAATAGGAAAAAAGAATAAAATTTAGTTCTTTTATTTAATTTAAAAAATATTATACTAATAAAATTTTAATTAAATAAAATTGATTTCAATTTATAATACATCAAAGAACTTATTATAAAAGCGTTTAAATAATGATAGAATGATTTACGGAAGATGTCCGACTTGTTACTTTGAAATCACAAAATGATTAAGGTTGTCCTAGTTTCAAAAAATTGATGTATACTTTCGAGAACAAGAAATAACAATTTAAAAAAATTTAAAGAAGTGTTTGAAAAATAGTTTGAAAGAATGTAGCAATATTTTGCGCTGCCAATGTACTTCTTCGTTTTTCGTTGCAAATTGTAAACGGGAAAATCTAATCCAAGAAGACAAATTTCACAAAAACAATGAGAAAACCAACGAAATGGGTAGCGGAAAATATTTCGGAATATCTTCCGGAAAGAACAGCACAATTTTTTTCTTCACGACTCTTCTCGCACGAGCAATTCGTGCATGTTTTGTGCTCGAAGTTTAAACAAAAGGAAAAGAGCAACAAGGGTCACAGAGCGCGAAACCGCAGAGATAACAGAGTGATGAAGCATTATGTTGTAAAGAAAAAAAAATGCAAAGTCGGCGCATTATAGCGTTAATACCTGTCGTCAATTTTCGTACCAAGATCAGATTAACGAAATTTGATGTTCTTCAGAAGAATAGTGAAGCGCCCTAAATTTCGATGCTAAAATATCCATTCTATCAAAAACGAATGATAAGGCAGCGCTCAGATACTTGTTTGAATTAATAACTGCAACGAGTGTACTTTTCCATATATATTTTTTATCCATATATTTTATCCATTTTTTTTACCATATATATTTTTACCATATATATTGTGTATGAAATAATCTCGATTTGAGAATATTTTAAGAGAGAAACACCTCTCTACCTTCGCTCAATATTTTGGCGGATGTTATATACAATTTATTTAATTATATGAGAGTGTTCATTTAATTATATGAGAGTATAAATATAAATAAGCTTTTTTTGTGAAAATATAAATAAATATGTTAATAGACATGTTTGCACTGAATGTTAGGGTCTGCTCACGTCCTCATAGTAGTAGCCTCGCAATAGTTGTTTTGAAGTCGTTGTTGAAATGTTCGAACAAAGTATTGAATGCCAATGCGTTGATTGTAAATTCTTAGCAAATGTAAATATTACAATCATCAAATTTTTAAGCAAACTGAATGCATATTTGGAGAAGAGACTTTTAAAAGATTCAGGCATTGTAACAACATTAACAACCATCGCGAGACCATAATTATGAACGTGTGCAGACACTCATACCTGTGTAAATATCTATCAACGTTGATTTGTACTCATACAAAAAGATCTCGTTCATATTTGAGTCATCCTCATATTATTAATAAATAAATATATATAAATATATATATGTATAATTATATGTACATAAATTGTATTTATATTAATATCTTAATCGCCATTAATTATCTTCAGATACAAATCAACTTTATTATCATCTTAAGCACTAGAAATATTTTATATTGGGTTGTCCGGAAAGTTCGTGCCGATGTTGAAGGAAAATTGAAACGCAGAAAATTTAAATTTTAGTATACATTTATTAAATTATATAAGTTAGTCGGCACGAACTTTCCGGACAACCCAATA